ATAATGCGGCTTCAGTGGCGATCAACGATAATCTGGATAAATGTTGGGGCGGCATGGCTGGCGACGAGCGCACTTGGGCAAAGGATACGGCTAGAGGATCCGTCCCGCCCTGTTATAGTTGACGGAGTAACGACAGCGAATGAGGGAGATAACCTACCTGACGAGGCGATGATAGAACAAGTGGTCTCAGCAGACATCTCACGAGTCTCAGAAGTTCCGGAACTCTCTGGCATCCCGCAAGTCGACGTGATCCCGCCAAACGGCACCACAACCGGAGCCCAAGCCCAACCAACCGAGCCCGTGGTCCCCATAGCCGCACTGCTCTTTTCGGGGCCACCCGGACCCAAAGACTGCCGCGGCACAGTAATAGTGAACGTCCGACTACCCAAGCCTGGATCGCAGCACTCCACACCGATGTGCTACAATGTACCCGGCACAGCGCAATGCGGGACCTTTGTAGCGAACATGGACGACGGTTGTCAGGCGCGCTTGTTCAACGAGCCGAACTGTCTGACATTTGCCAACCTGGCCGTATTCACTCCAGAGCAAAGGGCCTTTGGGGGGTTGATGAGGAGCATCGAGATCACCTGCGGAATCAAGAGCGAAACGCCGCCGCCCTTGAACCTTCCCGGAATGGAACTTCCTCCAGATGCCCAGCAGGCTGTCGGAAGGGTGAGTCGTTCTATGAGTTTCATTCTTAGAGGACCGAGGACCGCATGGCGGCTAACAGATCTCAGGGAACATGATTGATCAACTGTGCCCCAATGGAGGGCGAGAAAACAGATGTGATCGAAGATCAACCAGCATTCAACGTGGAAGGCGCAGATATAAATGTGATGCGAGGATGAACGGTGGGTTGAAGCCGGTGAAGCCTGAAGGCGACCCTACAGATATATAGAGCCAAGATTGGACGGTCCAAGCCGACCCGGCAGAAGCCTTATCATATCAGGGGTCAACACCACTTTGGGTCGGGAAGACAAGACAAGACACTATAGAGATATGCAAAGGGATGTGATTGAACAGATGTGTAGGGTGCTAACTTGATAAGACGACGTGACGGAACACGTTGCGAGCACCGGGAGGGGAAATTATCGTAGGGGCACGAATCACGGAGCGAGAAGTTATTGCCAGATGCGTGGAGACTGATGATGCCCGAAGGTTGCTGTCGGCGGAAGCAAACATACGATGCTTGTCAAGAGTTACATGTACATGTATGTACGTAGTAGGTGTGCTATGTGTAGGCACCTACACACGTTAGGAGTGCCTGAGGGGAGTGATATTGAATTGTCTAAGAACCGACCGCTGCAGCTTACAACTAATAATAAATGATAGTGGGGCTTTAGCGCATTCCAGCGTCTATTGTGTTACTATCGATAGTGGATATCAGAGGTTGCTTAGGCGGCGCTAACAGCGGCTTATCGGAGCAAACTCGCGTCATTGCTGTTCATTGTGTCTTGTGACTTGACTCGGATCGGAAGTCAAGACCTCAAAGGAAAGAACAACCTCTTCGACTTCCTCCACTTTCCACTTTCCACTTTGCACTTTCCGCTTTCTACTTTCTTTCATTAGATAAACCGACTTCGCCGACCCTGAACCTGAACCTCAATAAACACTAACACCGGACCTTATTTCCCTGCGCGACCTATTCATCCTACGCAATCGTCCCCTCCCATTTACAAACAAACATACCTAGGTAGCTTGTCAATATCTCTTTCCGTTCCCGAAAGTCCCAACTAAGCAACTCCGAATACCTCCAGGATCACCGATCACCGACCAACGATCACGCACCCTCTTGCTACTACCTAACATCTAGTACGCAACTTTGGAGAGCATCCCCTTAAACAACAAAGATCATATTCTAGCCCGGGTGTCGAGGCAATCTTTTCGGAAACCACATCTGGCGACAAACAGGCCTCAGCAAGGCGAAAGCAGAAAAGAGAAAGAGAATCACCTAAGAACTCGGCGCAAGAGAGCAAGATGAGCAGCCCACGTAGAAGAATCGAGACGGATGTAAGTCGACCCTCGCACATCTATTCATTTCGAGGTTCAGACCACTAACACGGACTCTAAACTAGGTCATGAAGTAAGCCGTCGGACGACTCGTTTCTAAGAACTCCGCTAACCGTGATACAGGATGTAGGATCAACTCTACCGCAGAACTTAGAAGAAGTCAACTAATTACCCCAGGCTCATGTCCGACTATGAGGTCACTCTAGTCAACGACAACAGTATTACACCCCTCCTCTAACTAATGGTGTTCAATATGGTGCTAACTAAGTCGTCGCAGTGTAAGCCAGCTCGTCGCGCTTCCCCTTTGTTCAGAGTCCTCACACGATCCCAGGCAGGAGTTCTACGTCCGATTCAAAGGACCCTCCGAGAGTCAGTACCAAATAGGAAGACAAGAGATTTCGTACAATAACGTCTAACCGGTTATATAGCGCCGTTCGAAGGTGGCATCTGGAAGGTCCACGTCGAGCTCCCCGATTCGTACCCTTACAAGTCGCCCAGCATCGGTTTCGTCAACCGCATCTTCCACCCGAACATTGATGAGTTGTAAGTTGTTATTGGTCTCGATTGTCTACTATTATATATATCTCCTTCTTTCCAGGTTTGGGTGTGGTTGGTTCAGTAAGGGCAGGACTAAAATAAGCACAACGAAATAGGTCAGGTTCGGTCTGTTTAGATGTCATCAACCAGACGTGGTCGCCCATGTTCGACATGATCAACATCTTCGAAGTCTTCCTCCCGCAACTCCTACGATACCCCAACCCCTCCGACCCTCTGAACGGCGAGGCTGCTGCTCTCCTCATGCGTGAGCCTAAGAGTTACGATGCTAAGGTCAAGGGTATGTTTCGTCCCTACATATCTGGAGCGTGAAAAGAGCCGACTAACATGGGAAAAGAATACGTCACAAAGTACGCCAGTAAGGATGCGGCAGACGAAGCCGGAGCCGAGAGCGAAGACGATGATGATATGTCCTCGGTTGCAAGCTTTGATGAGGAGGACGAGGAGCCTGCCGGTCAGATGGACGACGTATAGTAGATGTTCGATCATAATTCCTTTCCATCCTGTCCTCATTAGGTCAAGCACTGCGTTCTCTGGATTAAGGAGTCATACTGGTTCTCTGGTGGTTATGGATGGGATTCGGTGTCCTTGTTTTCGCGTGGAATTTGCATAAATCGAGCCGGGCTCTGGAATCTCAACCCTTCTCACCTCTCTAGCGTTGGCTTTTTGTGCACCCGTTTTTGTGATGCTTTCTTTTTGGTCCCCCTTGGAGGTTTTGGAACTGGTTGGTGGCGAGCGTTCCCTCACTTGATTACACATAGTCTTTTCATAGACCTGGGATGTCATGGTCAATTCAAGTCGACATGATCCACCCTGTGCTGCTGTAAGTCTAAGTCTGAAATGCCTTTATGCCTCTTATGTCTGCGTGATGCTACTGCCCTGGGTATCTTTTAGATGATTGAAACTTGACCCCGTAAACGCCATATAATGCAATCCACTTATGACTTCCTTAATCCGAATCATACTCGACCAACGCCGATAGAGATGATGATGCCCCCTTTTCCGTGTCTATCCCACCTGCTATCTCCACTCGAGGTTCGCCGTGGTCTTCCATATCTGCCCTCTTTCTCTTGATCCCCGGAATTCGAGACGATCCCTTGGCGCTTTCTCCTCCATTGCCGCCGCTGTCCAGCGATAGAAACGGATCCCGAGCTATTCGTGTATTGCCCACGATCTCCGCGACGAGGTTCTCCCGCATTTGCGCCGCGGCCACCTCGGACTTGAGCTTCTTGGATTTCTTTCTGTCAGCGACACCTTGTCTTCCGCCACTCTTACTCGAATTCGTAGCAAACAAAGGCTTCGCCAGCGCCTTCCGACCCATCTCGCCATCCTCGGCGGTTGACGGCCCAAAGTCCACAAGCGCAGCCCGCCGCGCGTCTTCGTCGCTCGCGGCGACTAACTCGATACCCAAGCTCATACGATCGCGCAGGTCCTCCGCCTTCTTAGCATCGCCCTCGCGCTCATGCCGACCAACCCGGAACGCAGCGCGCAAGCGGCGATTCTGCGCATACGGGTCCTCCCAGCGGCGCGCGCTATCGTCCTCGAGCTCGGCGATGCGTTCCTTAGCCTGCTCCAGAACCTGGCGATCCGCAATAGTCTTCTCGAGTTTCGCAAACGCGTTGCCCCTCAACTTTTCCCTCTCGGCCTCTGTTAGGATCGGTTCTAATCCGGAGGATGAGAGGGGGTCGTCTCCGACATCACGCTTTCGCGCGCCCTCCGCTACGACATACGTGGTGTTGGCGGGGTCGGTGCGGATCTCGATGGCGCCGCTGCAGTCGGCGTGCCGCATGCGGAAGGCGAAGATGGGTGTCGAGTGGTACGCGCCGACGCGGTGCTTGGTCGCGTTGAAGCGCACGCCCTGACCGATGATGGTCGGTTTGGGGCAGTGCTCGCACCATATGGCGAAGGGCATCTCGAACCGGACGGTCTGCTGGGCGCCGTCGCGCGAGAACCCTGGGGGTTTCTTCTTGTGCAGCTTGTTGCCCGTCGTCGTGCCCTCGACGTCGGGGGGCACGTACCGCCCCATGTTGAAGCCCTGCATCGTGGCGGTGGGGTCGGGTGTCGGTCGGTGGTTAGCTGTTGTTGAGGTTGAGTATGTAGGTAGATAAATAGGCTAGTTCGTCGTCTGTCCCGCCCGCGACTGGTTGAGGCGACGACGAATATTGTGAACCGACTCAGTCTACTTCGTAGTATGTACCTAGAGTGCGAAAAGATAAGGTGTAAGGCGTAGGCAGTGAATTCGGCTTAGAATTTGATGACTAGAATTTGCCCCTCGCCCCACCAAACCTGGATGGTAGTGACAAAAGACTAGAATTGCCATGTCATTCTTTCCTTCTAGGATACATATGTCCATGGAAATCAGACTCAACGCAAATCTTAAGAATATTATGCAAAAAGAAATTGTCGATAGGTATTGTCAAAATTGACAAAAGAAATGGTCCCAGAGAGGCTCGAACTCTCGGCCTTCGCATTTACTCCATATTGTAGTAGGTAATTGCAATATTAGTACGACGCTCTAACCAACTGAGCTATGGGACCCACTTGTTAAGTGTGATACTCCTGCTTCGTTGAAGTTGATTGCTGATAAAGGGTATTATATCTGGGAGTTGCAGCCGATATGCAACAACCCCTGTCAGTCTCGGCATTCAAACGCCAATTCTAGCTTCTCCCTTCAAAGTTACCAACTTCAACTTCTTTTTTATGAAAGCTGGAAGTCGATACCTTGGTCAGAAAAGTCACGAGTAAACGGCGACAGTGAAATATGATAAGATGGTATCTTTATGCACCTAGGTACTATAGGTATCATACAAATGTTGGCCCAACGAGTCCCATGCGAAACCGCCCAGACCCTTAAAAATATAGGAGAGACGAAATGTAAATGAAGCAAATCCCCCAAGTACAGCGCCTAAGAATATGAGAAAAGAAAACTTGCTGACATCCCCCAGTGTCTGTCCAGCAAACCCATCTTGCATACATGCATAGGTATGGTCGCGCGTGCGGCGTTCCCACGTCTTTTTCCCAATTTACCAGTCGGCGTTGAAGGGGTGACGGCCAGCCTCGGTGGGCTTGGGGTCGGTGTAGTGCAGAGCCTCGCACTTGGCGTTGCAGCCGACGAGCTTGTTGATGGGGAGTCTGATGCTGAAGTCGATCATGCCGCGCACCCAGTAGCCGTCCGACCTCTGGATGTTCATTTGGACCGCTATGGCACGGTTAGCTTTGGGAAAGGCATGTTGCGAAGCACCGGAGAGCCACTCACGCTTGTCCTTCTGCTTAGTGGAGCTGTTGCACACACGGGTCGAGTATCCGTACAAGCGAACGTCTCGCTGCGCGTACCAGACCTGGTGGCACTCGTCGTCTTCCCATGTGCATTGGCTGTACGGTTTGGTCAGCGCATTGATCCGGTGGATAAGGGAAGATGGATCTGCTCGTTCCCGGAGACTTACTTTCGTGCAGACTGGCTCGTGCAGACCGTCTTCGCGTTCGCCTTCGACTCGTCAAATTTGTAGCTGTAACTGCTACTAGCCTTCAAGCTCCAGTTCTCAAAGACCTTGTACTCGAAGCCTGCGTCGAGAACTTTCCAGTCCCCGCCCTCGCCTTTGGAAACGGTGTAGGATTCACATGTCTGCCCTAGATCGATGTCGGTACTGCTACATCTGGTAGTCGAGTTACAGTCGATGGCAGAGCCTGTTCCGTGATTAGCGTCCAGCTTATTTCCCACTTCAACTTCCACGGCACGTACCTGAGTTCACCCAGTCGTTGTACTCGATCTCACTCTCGACGATCCAGTATTCGGTCCTAGCAGATGAGTGTTAGGCATCCCGTATTTACAAACTTGCGAGAACGGCTTAGATAGTTCCTTACCAGCAGTGGCCTTTGCCCCCGGCCTTGTTACCGCAAGCGTCGTCCTTGCCTACTTTGGGGACCTTCTTGCCTTGTGATATCTGATAATCAGATTTCCTGGAAGCATAGCTAGGGTCCTCTCCGCAGCCAGGAAGCTTGTCCCGGAATTGGTTGGGCGATTGCCGGGAAATGAGCTCCGCTACAGCATCATCAACCACCATAGTTGGGACTGCCTTTGCCAGACCCAGGCAGGCAAGAACTGCGGCTGTTCTGAAGAGCATGGTTGATGTAATATCTGAATTGATGGGTTGAAAGGTATGTGAATCAAAGAGACTCGTTTTCGATGAAGTGTAGGTGATATAGTAGTCAGGTGTGTGGCTTGATGTTGTGTAACGAATATTGACTGTGAAGCCGGTGATGAAGCCATTTATATATCCAAGATCATCATCACGTAGCTTGGTGCCGTAACTGGGATCTCGTCCTCTTGTTCCTAAAGTGTATCTAGTGTCTATGAAGGCTCGGTCAAGATAGAGGCATGAGCTATAGTGGTCATCGACCGCGCCTCGTAGTCGATAGCCTCAAAGCTCGTATATCCCACTAGAATAGGATGATGTAAAAGCTCAAAGTATGAAATTTGCCATCCTCTTTCCATTCTAAGCTTGAATCCGCGAGCACAAATATCCAGGGACGTCTAGTCCGCGGGAGACGTGATCGAATAGCTTCAATCATTGGACGGTCGAAAGAACTATCCGGATGGTTGTCTTTCTTTTTTTAGCAATAGAGAATGCTTGTAAGTCTAGGCTAGGATAGAAGAAGCTTGATGATATACTAGATGACTACCATTTACATCTTGATAAACTTGAGTAGAGGCTCACGGCGTAGATCAATGTTACATCGAAGCTAGTCATAACGCATGTTAACTCTCTGCCCTGTGTACTAGCGGCGTCAAGATCGTCCAAATTTACCCTCTTGGCAAGATGGATGAAGAGATGCTAGAGTAATGCGCCTCTTAGTCAAGACCCCTACTCTAATGTCTGTATACTATATCGATATGAGTGTGGCTATGACGCGGGGCAATCCTCAGCTTCGGTGACATCAGTAGGGACAGCTGTTGTGGGGATGTTGCTAAAAATGACTTCTTGGCAGACACTGTGCCGTATAATAACATAACCTGAGACAGGCACAGTTGAGTCTGCTTAAACGCCCTATGTTGTAATGGGGCGCGAAGTGAGAAGGAATTAGCCCTAACGATTCTTAGATTGATGTTTGAGCAGTAAATGACTACAACTTCAACATCGCGTTACTAATAATGAAGGGCACTTTATACTACCTAATGTACCTAGGTACATATCTGCCGGAATAACATGAACAAGAGAACGTCTAGAGAACACTGATGAAAAGGTTATAGGGATGGAGTCTCTTGTTAATGACGTTTGTCATATAAGCAACCACCAGAGATTCTCCTTGATCATTGTAGGTGCTTGAGTGACGTAAAATTCTTATAGATCAAGAGTTCTTCACCGAACCAATACAGGGTCCCTGGCAACCAGGTCACATGTAGATAAGATAAGATGAACCAACCTCTTTACTTTTGGCTGGGAGTTCTCGGCTCACACGACAATTCCATGTACACACGTTTTTACACACTAAAATAACGTGTCACTATCAGAACACAAAAGGCAGAACATGATACCATGGTGCCATGACAAGTACAGATCCGAAGTACTCAATTTCATGGTTCGTTCTACCGCATCTAGAGTACGGAAAGCTTGGAACCCCAAGACGAAAGAATCGTCTGGGTGATCTTCTCACTGTTTGGATACGGGAACCCATGCCCTCCTGGTAGGTATTCAACCTGCAGATGGTCGGGTGGTAATAACTTCAGGATATCCTCAGTCGTCTCCTCTCCAACCACAACATCATCGTCTCGGCCAAAGAAGACGAGCAACTTGGAGTTATGTAGGGCACTATCGGGTCGTGTCCGACCAGCAATGATATCGCAAACCTTTGCCCATAGATCCTCCCTCTTCTGTAGCGGGCCGTACCGGACGGTATCCTGGAACGAATGGACGTGGCCTTGATGATGATCGAACTGCCACTGGAGGATTCCTCCAATGTCAAAGCTCTTCCCCACTCGAGAAGGTCCCGTTTCCGACGGAATCACTCGCTTCTGGTCCAGTTGGATGTTCAAAGCTGGGCCAGAAGGAGCCACTTCAAGGACCTCTCCGACCTTTTCACGAAGAGCTTCCTGTGATGGGGCAAGTTCGGGCTGATGCATGAGTGGGTCTTCGTAGCCATCCGGTAGCTTGCGGATAAGACCTGCTGGACCGAGGAGCACCAACGATCGAATTGACGCGGGGAAAGCACCTGCAAATGCCAAGGAGATCGGCCCACCTAGGGAAAAGGCGACGATGGAGAAGCTATTGCCATTTCCTATCCAGGAGAGCGGCGATGACATAATGGCCAAAAGTATTTGGGATGCAAACAGACGAACGTCGTGTCTACAACCGAGTGGTGTATCGCTATATCCTCGACCCCAGAGATCTAGTGACGAGTCGACTGGTCAGTTTCACCTGATCTCCATTGTCGGAGTGAACCTGGCCGTGGTTTCGACTACGCTGCTTACCGAAAAGCATCACTCGATATCCAGCATCCACCAGCACTTGGGCAACCTTGGAGAAGACTGGGCAAGGAGTGGCATCTCCGTGGACGAACAAGACCTTTTCCCCATCCGCTGGCCCCCATTCATAGACTCGCATAGTCCCGTAAAAGGTCTCTACATTGCGAGCACCTGGAAGCGCACTGGGCGGGTACGCCATCATGGCGGCCTCCTCGGCCGAGATGAAGGGTATCAGTGTCGTTTGGGGAGATTGGATAGTATCCATTACGTTAGGATATTCGTCGTAGGAAAGCTATTTATCGGACAGCAAAGTACATATAGGTAAGAGTGAGACTTAGTCAAGCCGAACAGGCCGGCGGTGAAATATACTTGTGTTGAAGTGAATTAGGTAAGGAGGCACTCGCCCCGCTCTTCACGTGCTGACGAGAGATCTTTAAGACTCACGTCGTACGAATTAGTGCCTAACGCTTATTAATGTGCTTAAGTAACTGTTTTCACAATATCGGACGAGAGCTATGGACATGGAATGTTTGGCTCAGTTATCTGCTGAGATGTGGCAACTACATAAATTCATGTGTATATGTGAGCAACCATGAGACCACGGTCTCATCTTCCACCATCTAACCGAGTTTTTAAGCAGCCCACCATGAACCCTGAGAGACAGGACGGTTGTTAGTGTTTTTTAGTCATAGTGGGAGTCGTAGGGGATTTTATCTACAAAGATCCTCATGAGGTCTACCGTCTATGCCCACTGCTTCTAGGGGGTATGCCTCCCTCCTTTCAACTACGACGAAGCGCAAAACCCTTCACTTCATAATCTACCAACGGACCTCTATATCCCACCTTACCTCCTAGAAAGTAGCATGTGACCGCGAATATAATGACCGAGCCCGTCACCAGAACGCTGTAGTTCATATTCTCACCAGTCACGGGTGTGACTGGCGGCCAGAAGTCCCAGAAGAGCACCCACACGCAGAATAGGCAGGCGAAACCGTTGTTTATAATACCGAGTACCCCCGGTACGCGCCAAGGGCCCCATTCCAGTTCTTGCTTTTCGAGTACAATATCAGAGTCGCTG